GTGATTGAAAAATAAGTTTGGATGGGTATCTTACAAGAGAAAAAGGAAATATTTGACTATTGATGGTCGAAAATAACCAACTTAAAAATTCATGATGATTTAATTGGCTATACACGTCCACTCATCAATCAAACGTTGAACAAATAAAGAATTAGTTTTAGTTGCACTAACTATAAACTTTTGTGAATTATCAAACGATTTCAATACTTGATGCTAGTTCGACAAAATTATCTAATGCATTTATATTTTTATTTATTTGGTTGTGTGTTTAATAGATAGTTTTGTTGGAGACAAACAAGAGTTTTAGTTTTCGAGAATTTTATAAGTGCATTTTAAATTATTATTTTGCATGAATATCTACTTAATTTAGGTTAAATTTGGTTAATTATAGGTAAAACTCGGATTGGACAAGTTTGGATGGGATTGGATTAATGTTGTAAAAAATTAAGGAATTGAGGAGCAAAATAATCAAACCTTGAAGTGAAGGACCTATCATACAAATAAAGAGGACCTGGGATGCGTAAGAACTCAATGTGGAGGACCAAAGTGCACTTAACTATAAAAAATTTCAGCATTTGTGGGATTCCTATATAGACTCAAATTCCACATTAGAGAGATGCTTGAGTACTCCTTTTTATAGTTAATAGAGACATCTATATATATGATGTTTCATTCTTTTTATAGGACACACAATTTTAGAGAGGGAAAAATACGTAATCATTAAGGTCAAAAGGCCAAAAGCTAGGGTTTGAAAACTTTTGAGTTTAAAGAAAATTCTTAGTGCAGTATCCAATTCATTCAAACATCATGATTTCAAAACCTAATTGTGAATTTTATACTTTTTTATTATTTTTCTTTCTTTAGTATGAGTAGCTAAATTATAGTCAGGACAAACAATGAAATTTATGTGTGACCCTTTAATTTATCTTTCAAAATTCTAGTTCTCAATTTTATGTGTTGATTTTATTTGTGGTGTTTTATGCTTTGAATTGCTTGACCAGTAATTCAATGATCACCTTTAATGACTCAAGAAGTGAGTTTTAGGTTTGGACTACATAGCAAAACTTGGAACTAGTATAAAAGTGTTGAGATACATTTTCTAGTTAATGCAGTTGTTACATGGATTCTTAAAGATTTAAGACGTTTAACTAAGGTGTATCTAAATTCACATTGAGATATATAATTGACTCAGTTAGATAGAATCAATTTGACCGAAGACTACATTAATAATGAATCTTGATTAGCGGTAAAACTGTAAGTTGTAGTACCCATATTCGTAGTTTAAAACTCGAATTCGATAAATTTTGCGCCTAGATTAATTTAAATTAATTAGAATAATTTAGATAAACAATCACCCATATATTCTTTGTTTTATGTCAAATAAAAGTTAGAAATAGTAAATTAAATGTTAAATTATCTTCCTCATGAGAACAATCATTTGGCCTCATTGATTCATTATATTACTTATTACGATTCGTACACTTGCGGAATATAAAATCAACACCACCAACCCTCTTCAATTTACGAGGTAAGTGATGTTGCAAGTGGTTTAAGTGAACTTGTTTCGTATAATTTAATTTTCGAATTCGTTTGGGTGTCCTATATGTTTATGATAAGATGGTTGGCATTTAATAGTGCTACGGACAAGGATTTCTATCATCTATGTTCAGAGTAGTTCATGTGATAACCTATACGTATGTTACGAAAGTTTGTCTTCCTTAGTTGAAAGACAAGTTGCTTGTTCACTGCAAACACTTAATGAGATTTTTCTCCCTTTTGGTAACAGGTTGGAGCTAGATATTGGTTGGTGGTGGTGGAGAAATTGTAAATTATTTTTATATTAAGAACGATTTATTTTATTGGCTATTATTTCTCCAAACTCTACATGTTGGGAAAAATCACTTTAGTATTTGTCTCGTATGTTTTTAAAAATAAATGAATATTATTTTTTAATTATTTTCTGTAGTCTGCGTGGATGATTTGGTGATTCTTAGGTTATCAAGAACTCAGGTCGTTACACCCATACTTATCTATATATAATGATTTTCAAATAACGGTAACTTTTTGATGTTTAGTGGGAGGTAAGTGAACAATGTATATACAATAGAAAACACGTATGGAATTATAATCAGAAGAAACGCCCAATAAACAAGAATATGAGAATTTAAGATGTAAAGTATTAATCAAATACGCAACCGTAAATAATGCTTTTACCCAAAATCTAAAAGGAACGGGGGATTCAAGAATCAAGGTATGAACAACATCCAAAAGATGTTGAATCTTATGCTCGATGAACCATTCTATTTAAGATCATGTAAGGACATGAACGATAGGAGAAAATACCCATCTGTTATAGAAAAGAATGAGAATCCTAGACATATATTCCTCACTAGAATCATAAAGTAAGATCTTAATACGTGAAGAAAATTGAGTTTGTGTATAAGCAAAAAAAGCTTGAAATGTAGATAACACATCAGCATTAGAACAAAGAAAATAGACCAAAATGAAATGACTATGATTATCAATAAATGTCACAAAGTACATGTATTGACTCATACCCCCTGAACAACAATATGAATAATCTCAAAATATACGGAACCACAACTACTATGTCGTCGTAAAGGTCAAGATTTGCTTTTACCACCAAGCTTACAAGAGGCACAATCTAAAGACAATTGAAAAACATCATTCGTATTATTTACAAAAGCGTGTTTTACAATATGTGTTAAAATAACAAAGTTAGGATGACAATTTCTTATGTCAAACATGGCTATTGTTAGCAACAATTGAATAACTCACATAAATAGAACAAGTAACATAGAAAAACTTCCCTGTTCGTATTATTTAAAGAATCATGTGTCACAATATGTTTTAAAATAGCAGAGTTAGGATGATCCAATTTCTTATGTCAAAAATGGTTATTATTAGCAATAGCAGAACAGCTTATATAAATAGAACGATAAACGGGAAAAACTTCCCGCTTTTGGCCCTGTCGCTTTAGTTTGCCCCAACACTTAATCCTACATACGACAACCGGCACGATCAAAATGATAGCATAATTGTCTTCTACAAATTGCCCAACAAAAATGAAATTGTAAATAAACCAGGAGATAAAATATCAGTGAACGAAGATCCGAGATTGTGAATCAGAATAATAGGTAGGATAATTCCATTGGCTATTGAACATGCTGTTCACAATCATACTTACTAACATTGTGCAGGGCTTCAAGATCTTTAGTCATGTGATTGGAAGCTGCAGAGTCAATTAACCAAGAAGAGGTAAGAAAATGTGGTTTACCATGGAGACCAACAGTAAAGAGAGTTGAAATAATTATATGTTGAAGCTGCTTGGGTGTGTGAGTTGAAGAAGAACCCAAGATAGCAAGCTGGTCGGAGGCGACAGTCGTCGCAGTATGAAAAAGCAGGAGTTATTCGATTATAAACGTACATGCAATGACTTGCTTATTAATTGCAGGTAACGTGAAAGCAGGTACAAGAGTTAATGGGCCTCGAATTTCAGTTCTAAAGCACGTCATTCCAGTCAGACAATGAGAAATTTGATGGACTTCAAAATTTATGCAATTCATATTTAGGAGGCGTTTGTTTCCCATTTTTGTAAAAATAAGAATGAAAAATATAGTCGTTATAAACTTCATATACGAGATAGAAATTCAAATTTGATGGCTTGATATGATGAATAATGATCATATTTTTCATTTTAATGGTGAAAGAATGGAAAACAAACAGAGCTTACTGTGCAAAATAATATGTTGACTCTACCAATCCTTCCACTCACTACCATTCCCATCATAGCCGCAATAATAGTATGCAGTAGAAGGGTAGCCATTAGTAAGATAGCACATAGACTGATCAACGAGATCCGATAGCATGGGAGTCAAAGACCCATCCCTAGATTGAATGTGTACAGCAGTCATGTTGCCAGAATCAAAAGAAGGCTTTTTGGTTGGCCCTGGAATTTCCGGAGTTTTCGCCTGTGTGTCCAACGACAATTTCTGAAGCAGGCCAGCAGCCTGATCTGGAGGAGCGAAGGCGGCCATAGACTCCGAACTGACAGATCTCGCTTCTTTGAGAGAGGGATGGGGTTTTTAGTGGGAGAAAGAAGGTGTGAGAGTACCAGCCGCCACCAGTAAAATGCTAAAAAAATATAAAGGCAGAATTAGAAAGCAATTATGCTCTGATACCTTAAATTCTTGAATTCAAACAACATATTACACTCCATAAAAGGAGGAAAATAACACTCCATCAAAAGAGGAAGATGACGCTCCATGAAAGGAGAGATTGAAATACATCCAATGAACTAAAAGGTATACAAAGTCTTGTATTTATAAACACAAGTGTGGGTGGCTAACTAGAATAACTAACATCTAACAACCAACTATCTAACTAACTAAACTAACTAGTAACTAACCAATCAACAAACTAACTAATTTTGAATCTGCTGGAATATTCTAACAATGCCGTTGGCCCTGATAGTGTAAAAATCAGGTCCAAAACACGAGTAATGTCCGATTGTAAGATATTTATGAAAGAAATATTGATCTGACCATGGTTTCTTTCTGCTATGGAAGAAGCTGATACGTTGAGACTAAACAGAGTCAAGGAAATAATTAGCATGCTTACAATGCAAGCTGTGGTTTTTTTGGCATTTAGTCGAAACTAGGAACAAACGGTGGTAACTGTCTTGTAACGGTGTCTTGCTATGCTGTACTTTTATGATCATTTAGAGGACAACTGAAACAGAATTCAGATTGTTCGAAGATTGAGGATTGGAGAAGGGGTGAAAATCTTACAATTCGAGAAGTTTGAATGCTGTTTCAATTCTCTGTCTTCCGCCATTTATTTATTTGTTTATTTTTTTCGGGGGGAATAATTTAAGGTAGCGTTCTTTGTTTTGTTTGGGTCAAAGGTTCACCGCCTACTGTTTTTAAATTTACACAGTCTGCGAACCAGAAAAGGCCAAAATCTCAAATTTGCTCAAAACGTGTCTTTCACGGACATGAATTCAATCCAACTACTGAATGCAAATAAAATCACTTGGAAGGTCATTCTTTTGATCTAATTCCATATCAATTCCTCAAAATTTACTGGTCAAATTGAATGCACTTAGGTCTTGTTACTCAATCTTCCTGCTACATATTTAGAAGCAAAACTGGAACAACAAACATTATAATCCAAGTATAACAATTGACAAAGATTGAGGCAGAAAAATTAAATCTAGAAACCATGTCGGGAAGTTATCGTTCTACCATTGTAAATGTAATGAAGTTCAAGGACGAAGCTCCCATGACGAGCAGCAAGAATTTGGTAGCCGTCACTCTGTTAATTGCCTCATCTCTCGTGTTCATCCAGCGTCATCGGAAAATAAGGCCATCATTACGTTCACTAAGTGGTACAGTTTTCAAAGATCAGGATCAAGGTGTTTCAACAACAGAAAAGCTTGAGGAAGAAGGAGGCCTTGAACTCGATTGTGTTGTTTGCCTTAGCCGAGTGTCTCGGGGTGATAATTACATGATCCTTCCAACATGCAAGCATGGATTTCACGTCAATTGCATTGATGCTTGGCTGCAGAGGCATTCTACTTGTCCTCTATGCAGATGTCCAGTTCCTCGTACTCCCGTCCAGTATTGCTCCATTAGTACTCAGGACCCAAATTTAGATGCTTTGATCTCTTATATTCTTCGTTTGTTGGATCATGTTCGGACATGGCTGATGTACCCACTCAATGCTTTGAGCGAGGACTGTCTTCGTTTTCCTTGAAGATCAAGATGAATACGACAGAGACCCATTTTTTGGGGAGAAAAGTACAACATTGATAGAAAGAAAGTGAAAACCGTAGCATTCATTCTTTTTTTTTTTTTTTTTTTTTTTTTTTTTTTTTTTTTTTTTTTTTTTTTTTTTTTTTTTTTTAAATGTTTCATTGTTTTCATTCGTCCTCCCAAATTTAACAAAATTCCAGACTCAATGACACCTTTCTTCCAGAAAAAGGCTACATATGAACCTTTTCCAGTATCTCAAGCACAATTTCCTTTCTGATACATACAATTGTGATTTATGTTTCCAAAATAATGTGAAGAAATATAAATCTCAGAAAGCGATGTGCCATAAGTAATACAATTAATTGATCTCCTCCAGTTATGTTCTATACGACGAACACCTAAATCATCGGAGCTTCAGTTTTGAAAAGCTGAGCATAGGCTTTGCAACGGGGCGAGCAGCATCACTTCTCGCAGCCTTCTTCACATCATATTTGACCGATAAGAGAGAACAAACCAGGGCTATTAACATAGTTGGGTAGACAAATACTGCATTTGTTTGATCTGTGTTTGCAGGCTTTTTGAGAATCCCTTGACAAGGCCCCATATGACTAGAAGAGTCCCGAACATGCTCATCCTCCCGGGTTTTAAGAAGCCAATAAGTGCACCAGCCACCGAGAAATAACTTCCAGCAAGTACCTGGTCAAAGTTATTGAATATATAATTAAAACTAGACCAAGGGAAGACAACAGCATATAACAGCATATAAATTTTTCAATGGAGACTTGAAAGAGTTTCGTTGTAAGTCTGCAGCTAAATTGGGTACAGAAATGTTTGCACGACACAATATTTTCCAAGCTTGCTGTTCCATTAACAAGAGAACTTGTAACTTAATTATTGGCAATGGGAGTTGCGATAATTTTGTAGTAAAGAAGCAAATGGATTATTTGAAATTACCAACAGAGTGATTGAGATGACAGCAAATAAGAAATTATTGCTCCATCACATGAAAAGTGTTCAGCAATTCTTTAAAACCTTTAGGGTCCTGATAACAGACTGATATTAATATAGACACGATATTTTAAGAACGTGATATTTTCTAATAATAAAAAAAAAAAAAAAAAAAAAAAAAAAAAAAAGAGGAAAAGAGGAAAGTATCATTGTGGAATGGATACATGGATGAGACTTCAAAGTGTGCTGGTTGAAAAGAGGAAAATAAACAGATTGCAAACTATCACCAACTGTTAAAGAACTTTAACCTGTATGGACAATCTACCCACCTTCTATGAATTTCTCTCTCCAGTAGTAACTTCTATGACCAAACTAATTCCAACTGTTAAAAACTAAAAATTTCACTGTGGAACTCAAAATTGAGACTGCCTTCAAAAGAAAAACAAGGAAACAGAAAGGTATTCAACGTGTATTAGTTGGAGAAAATCGACTATACTCTACAAATCGAAACAGGCATAAAACAACGAACTTATCATACAAGGAAAAGGAAAGGTATGGAACCTGCATTCATTGGTTGTTGTTGGACAACTATGGTCTATATGATTAAAACAGACATACAACAGCTGGCTTAAATGTTTTAGAAAACTTTTGTATCCTTGGAAATAGAGAGGTATACTAATAAGCAAAGTGGCCATAAATGAGTTCACGGTAAATATTGATGCAAATATTAATAAGCACGACTTCAATAATTTTTTATTTTTTATTTTTTATTTTTTTTGGGGCGGAGGAACCCTGAGAAAATAAACAGTAGGAAGATAGGAAATCAGTGATAAAATAATCGGCCAGAACATGCCGTGGCACCGAGGCCCTGACAGACGACAGAATGCCAAAGAAGGGAAACACAACTGTATGTCTGCACCAAACAATGTGCCGTCTGAGATAAAATCATCTCAACAAAGCTCTTATCTCATATCCTCTTTTCCACATCACTCTATCAAGTATCAAGAGGAATCTCAAAAAGTTAAATTATAAAAGTTTGTGATTTAAAGTTCGACCCATCCACTAGTATTGCCATTGATAGTAGCTTTATTACTTCTCTTAAACAGTGGATCCAGCGAAATGATGCCTTCTAAAATATAGAGAATGCACAAGGAAATACATGTATCGGCATGTAACCTGCGGAGAAAAATATGTCATGAATTCATCAGTTGAATAATCCACTTTGCAAGGAGAGAACTAAAGTTCAATGAAACAGTAACTAGCTTCAGTACATCAAGCACTCTGTATTTGTAGGGAATAGAAATCAATCTACTTAGAATGTTTAATTGACCAGCTTGTTAGAAATTTTACGAAGAAAATAGAGTAGAAAAAACAAACCCTGATAATCCGGGATTATAGCACGGTCATGTTTAAAAAATCATCTGATTGTATCCTAAAGATTATTTTCTCGTAATTTGTATATCTTATATTTGTTACTTTCCAACTGCAGTCACTTTTCAAACAATTGTTGCAATAAGAAAGATTGACAAAATCAATTTGAAAGGACAGTATAATACGAATTCATTTCCAGCTTCTCATCGTTGTAGTAATATGTTTAAATTTAATAGATTTTAAAAATTATAAAGAAGAAGAAAAATTTTAAATAATACTTCTAACCCAACTACAACAGGAAGCATAAAATTCATAATATATCAAATTACATCAGGCACTTAAAAATCAGGTGCAGAAATTATTATTAAAAAAATGATCAACCCAAATCTAAAAAACACAAGCTAACCAATATTTTCTCCTAAATTAAGAGCAAATTAGTAAATCAAACTCCAAAGGTCAAATCAAACTCCGGCTGAACAAGGACCCCCATATACTTAAAAAAAGGTTGAACCCCAACCTTGAAAGCCCCCACGTCCCCGCCCTAGAGTTTTGTAAGGGAAGTAAATCACGGAATGTGCTCTAACAGACCAAGGAACAAGAGCTGCATGCACACTGCGTCTACCAGAAGTTCAATTTCATGTCACAAAAATCGAACCCCCATACTGCGGCTGCCAGCAAGTCGTGAGATAACCCCACTCCTGTCCTTTGCACCACTGGACTATGCTCCAGGGGGCAAAAACCCCCATATACTAGAACATGATAAATCCGGCGTTCAACAGAAATCCATGTAGATTTACAAGACAGAAAATAATATTCGCAGATGACCATGTTCATTGGATATATAGCAATATAAAGTCGATAACTATGGGATTTGACCTGAAAAGAGGGACCTGAAGAATGCCGAGGAAAAAGACATGCGTACTTCGATAAATTTCTCCACTTTCTCTATGACGCCACCGATGGTATTTTTGTTGTACCATTCGCCAGTTAAGACTGCAAGAATTTTCTGTGTGGGTGATCACAGGGTCGGGAGAAGTGAAGAAAAAAAAAGGTTGAATCCAACCTTGAGGGCCCCACCGCCCCGTCCCTCGAACATTGTGAGGGAGGTAAATCGCGAGATGTACCCCAACAGGTCAGGGAACTAGAACTTTCGTGTACATTGGTGCCCATAAAAGAGTTCAATTCAATATCTCCGGAATCGAATCCTCATACTACGGCTGTCAGCAAAGTTGAGATTACCTTACTCGTGTCCTTTGCACCACTGGATTATACCCCGGGGAGCCGGAAGAGGTGAAGCAAAGTCGATGGAGGAGAGCTCGAGCAAAATTGGAATTGTAAAAAGTACATATTAAAAAAAATTGCATTTATTTGGAAAATATCTTATTATAAAGTTCTACTTGTACATAATTATGACACGTTCTAACCCAACTACAATAGGAGGCATAAAATTCATAATCTATCAAATTACATCAGGCACTTAAAAATCAGGTGCAGAAATTATTATTAAAAAAAATGATCAACCCAGATCTAAAAAACACAAGCTAACCAATATTTTCTCCTAAATTAAAAGCAAATTAGTAAATCAAACTCCAAAGGTCAAGTCAAACTCCGGCCGAACAAGGACCCCCATATACTAAAAAAAAGGTTGAACTTCAATCTTGAGAGCCCTCACGTTCCCGTCCCTAGAGCTTTGTAAAAGAGGTAAATCGCGGGATGTGCCCCAACAG